CGCGCGTTAGCATCGATGACCTACTGGAGCTGTACGCGTCATTCCTTGAACAGTACGCACAGCACACAAGTAGAGTGGTTGAACGGCGCATGCGCTGCATACAGCTCAAACAAGACCTCCAAGAAGCCAAAGGCGCAGAATGTTATCCACACATTATCTACAGAAGTTTGTGGAGAAATGAACAAGGTGCTTGGAGCCAATTCCTTCATGAAAGGGATTTGGAAGATATGTGGTTACCTATGTAACCCGCTAGCATGGCAGCACATGAGTGTTCCTGCCGTTCGTTTGCAACAGCTGCTTGTCAAATGCCCGCAGGGATGCCCCTCTGGCCCCGACATGGCTGCCACCATTGCACATGTTCACTTGCGTATTTGGCTCCAGACTGTGTCAACAGTTCTCCGAGCTTGGCAGACATGCTGGCAAGCCAGGTCAAGGAACACACCCCGAGGTCAACAGTGAGGATGTTGCGGCACGCATCGGCGATGCCATCCGAAGCAACCTTGCACAAGCCACCGAGGAAGAAAGACAGAGATGCGTCGAGCAAATTGAAGACTGGTGTGCTGATAGAGAACGGAGTAGAAGGGAAGAGCACGACTCCAGGGTTGCCAGGGGAGCACCGGCCCCTTCAGTTTACACCCCGCTCTACGTCGGCGCACCACCTCGAGCCGCATCACCGCGTGACACCGCCGAAGCTGACACCATCACCACTCCCCACTCCGACCGCACTGAGCAAGGATACGAGACACCACCTAGGTCCACCAAAGCCAACACACCGCTGCCTCCCAAGAGGAGACGCAAGGCAAAAGGGCGCATCCAGGAACAAGGCGAGCACAATGAAGTCACATCTGCGGAAGTGGCTGAATCCGAACATGGTTTGCTTGATCGCATGGATTAAGTGTAGCTGCGCCCACAGCTTAACATGGGATGCGGCCATTGCCCGGTGCCACGGTCTCTGCTCGGCTCCCAGACTGGATCTGCAATATAAAAGGGTTTTTGCTAAATACAACTTGCACATTCCTTTGCCAGAGCAGGATTGCAGATGTGTCGCTGCAGTGCAAAACCCGCGTATTGTGTCGCTGTCTTCTTGGGAGCCTCAAGGCCCCAGGGCAAGGTGTGCGATCACAACTGGTGTCCCGCAGACTTTGTTGTCCTCGTTCTTGCAGAGTAGGTACCCCCGTAAATCACATAGCATAGATCTGCAGATGACCTACCCTGACCGTAAGTGTGCCCCCCTCACACCGTCTCTCAGGCGTGCAGCCCACGTGCGTGCAGACCTCCGGACATCTCGACCTGTCCCGCTGCAAGGAGCACCAGCACATGTCTGCATGAACCCCCGCAGTGCTGCATGTTGCTCTGCCTGCGCCACACGTCATGTTAGTACGGTATGCCGTCAGTGCCGACATAATGCAGGGCGCCCCGAGCTTAACCATGTGTGCGCAGAAGGCACGATGCCCAAGCCTAGTGAAGAGCCAGTGCCCTGCGAAGGGGAGCCAAAGGCGAGGGCACAGCAGCAGCCCAGGTCGCGCTTTCGCGCCGATGCCAAACGCCGCGGACAGCCGGAGAGCTGAAAAAGAGGGCCCCCTATGTCCAGTGCTGGAAGGATGTGCAAGCCGGCTGAGAGCCGGCCCTCGTCAAGCCATAGGGGGCCACAGCACTTCCGCATCCACACGGACCTGACTCCCAGCATGGGAGACCTGCCGAGGAGTGGAACTGAGTGGAAGAGACTGATAGGGCGCTAGAAAATGGCCCCTGGCAACGCGGTGTCCCGGTGGCGCAACCCCACCGCAAGCTCTGCTTGGGAGACCGAGTGGGACCAGTGGAATGCGGCCCAGCACACCAACGCGGAGAACGAAGCTCGGGACGCGACAGATGGAATGTGGAGAGGTGGATAGAGAAGCCATCATAGAGTCATAGAGTGCCTTCGTCATCCAGTTAAGACCATGCTGCCGACCTCATCGCTAGATTTCGGAGTCGTCTTGCAGGGGCACTTGACCAGTGCAATGATGTCCAAAGCCTGGGGAAGATATCTAGTCAGGTCGCCGACGTTTCGCAAGAGGTTTTTCCCATCAAGCATGCTCACAACGTGAAGTACCACAAGCTTGGGAAAGAGAACCAGCAGAAGGGAGCTGTCAATCGGCCCCTTCGGAGTGTCCTGATCACCTGTCTGTTCGAACACCTGCTCAAGATGCTTCAGAAAATGTCAGGCCCTACCCTGGACAATGCCAAGAAGCAGAGTCAACTTCACTGGGAGCCCTGACGGTGGACAGCGCCAGAGCCCCATTGAGCGCGCAAGACCTGATCCGATTTCTTCAGGACATGATCCCCCTACTGGCGGTGCCGTACTCTGAATCGCTTTCACGCGAATCGGGCCATCAAGGTCAACACAGATCGCGTCGCAGCTTTTCATCTGGAGATATCCGGGAGGACGGAGCAGTGCAGCACGGTATGGACCACCATGGAGAAACTCTCCGGTTCAGCTGCCCTGCAGCTAATAGGAGGTCAGCTGCGCAGGGACAACCTCAAACAGTCTCCGGCAGCAGAACTGACCCAACAGCTCATCAGCGGATCATCCAAATGAAGCTCCTGAGTAGCACCAATACTTGCCATAAAATTCCATGATCATGTCCTGGCTGCGCATGTTCTCAAGCATTAGAGGCTCAGAGCATGACTCCTTCGGCTCCAGGTACAGGCGTGGCGAGATGTTCTGCGTGCCACGAGGCCGATTCATGTGCGCTCGCTTGCTTTTGGAGATCTATCTTGACAGGATGGAGCCACCGTCATTGGCAGCAGGATGCTGGCGAAATGCTTGAGCACCGGGTTGCCATGGGAGGGCCCCAAAGCGTGAAGGGACAATGGGAGGCACGGATTGAGCAGCAAGGCCTTCTAGAAATCAGGCGCTATGCTACCGCAAGCGTTGCCTTAACACTTGACAAGCGACAGTCCAATGAGCCCACTAGGTTGCAATTCCTCATGTTCACATGGTAAACACAACAACCTGGTATTCAAGCCTTCAGCGATCCTCCCAAAGTCCTCACCCTGCGAATCTCAAGGTTTGACTGGAGTGAAGGGGCCATCAGGAAGGTTACCGCACCTGTGCAAGTGCCAACTGTCTTGCAAGTGCCAGTGTTCGATAATGACGCACTGCAGTGTTCATACATTTGATACTACGTCCTGTCTGCTATATTGCATTCTGGGCCGACCCCCAATGCTGGACACTACATTGCCAGATTTTTCCAAACAGGTGATCAGCATGTTGCTCAATGGAGCACAGATGATGCCAGGCCTGCAAAGTTAGTCCATAGAGATGCTCAACATGATCAACAACTGTCTCAGCAGTGCTATATCCTCATCCTGTGCAGGGGGGACGTGCTCTTCAGCACTTTGAGTCGGGGCACCAGGGGATTTTAGGGGGTATGAAATCAGCGCTACCCGAGCTTGAGGACAAAAAGTAGTTGATCGGATGAATCCGACAGCCATAAAAATCCATTCGCACAAAAGTTGTGACTCCCTTGTGAAGATACGAAGTGTGCCAGCACTGGCCACTGCGCTGAGATCTGGGCTAGTGCGGCTAGTACGCCTTTCTAGGCCACGTGTACAGCGCGCTGTGTAGTGTAATGAGGGCATTTTGGAACGGATTGTTTGGTAGTTGAAGGAGTCATTCATGGGCTCCTCGTAGCATTGACCACTTAGCTGCTCACTAGCTGACTCGACCGGCTGTGCTCGAATGGAATAGCAGGAGGAGGAGGAGGACTAGGAGGAGAAGTAGGAGCAGGAGTAGGAGTGGTACTGGTGGTCCCAGACAGAAACATCATCGGTACAGACGAGTTCCCATTTTGCTCCGCATTTTGGAGGCAGTTTCAAACACCTGTAAACGCCGCATAACACTGACACAAAGCCCGCCTAAAGCTTCCATCGACAACACAAAACACAAATCCATCCTAAAATTATCATCAACTACCAGAGAAGCCTAGACCTCAAAATCAGCTATAGAATTCATCAAATTTGCACAAGGAAGTCATTAACCAGCCCACGCATCAAGAAAAAACATCATCAACTTGGTATGAAACCATCATAAACCCTGCATGACTTTATCCCGGAGGCTTTTGTCGAGCCATGCTGAACCCCTGGCCAGCACGTACGGGAAGTATCAAATTTGGAGAATGAGAAACAGGACCGCGGACCGCTGCATCGGATCCACTCTTGCATTCTTTGGCCATCTGATACCTGGCCTTTCTACACTCCTGGACCTCTTTTTATTCAAGGAGGCCAAAGACGGGGTTCGGAGCTAGTTTACAAAATGGCGCTTGATGATGATAAGTTGTTAGATGTCCTGGCTTTTTCCAAAATGCACTCATTGAAAAACGCCCGTGAATTTGCAATTGGAAAAGTGCAGCTGTAATAATGCGAGGTGGGGTCTGCAGCATGGCACCATCCCCGTAGAGTTGAGCCAAAGCATTACGAGGGCTCCAACTCCTTACCAACGGTTGCCGACAGTTCCACCAACCCCGGCAGAAGAGGCTAGGGAGCAACGGAATTCGAGGAGATGCGCTTTTTTTTCACGTGAGGGAGTTGAAAGCTGAGTAACATTTGGAAAGCAAGGGTGCCTTGCAAGAGGGGGCTCTGGAGGAAAACCTGGAAGTCCAGAAAGGCCATCCCTACAAGGAAGCCGGACCCCTCACAAGCTAGGGGGGTTCAGGGAACCCATAAGGACAGGAGGTAGGGGTGGGTTGCTACTTGTCGTGTACGTGGCGTCTCGAAGGAGAAACCTCATTCAGCAAGGGAAGCTTTTCCCGTAGCATGCCTAGAGGTGTCTCACTCGGCCAGGATAAATATGCGAAGGCAAGTTGCTCCTCTTTGACGACCTGTGTAGATCTTTCTGGAAAATCCTCAGTTGACGGATGCAGCTGTGACCAGCTAGTGTTGGGTTAATGGCCCTCATTGTGTTCTGCACCTTTGCGCGAGCTGACAGTTTTGATGATTCTTGATTCGTTGCATTCGAGGCAATGCCGGGGAGCTGCCTTTCGATGCAGCACACATGGCTTATGGTACCCTTGTTTTTGGCGAGGAAAAGTATGTCCTAACAGCTTCATGGATTGAAGACATGATTCTGGAATTTTCTGATCCAGTCCTGGCAGCATACTTTCAGATGGACTTGGCCATTGAGGTGGATGCTGGTGGAGGCTCGGATAGTTTGCTTTGCTGTTTATTGCTGGTGGCATTGCCCTATTGCCTTCTGCAGGTGAGTGCGTACTCAGAGAGTCGGACAACCGCAGGTTCATCTGTGACATGGGTGAATTTGGAGGGATATGTGATTTTCGCACTGCTGCTAACCAGCACGTCATCATGGGGGGGCGCCTCAAATGTGCTGGAAGCGCGGTGCCCTCTCCAGTCCCTGTGCCAAGTCCATCCCCAAGCCCAGTGCCGAGACCGAGTCCAAGCAGCCGGCCAGCTCCCGTAAACTTCCCTCCCCTCAGCGGAAGTTCATCAGGATGGATCCTACACCTCAGCCTGAACTGCTGGGAGAAACATGGTGCTGTGTCACTGCCAGGTGCAGACCCACTTCCCGGAACTTTCACGATTGAAAGCTGCCGCAGACAGTGTGAAAAAATGGCAGCCTGCGAGGCTGCTGTTGTGCGGCATGGCTGGGATGATGGAAGTAGTCCTTGTTTTTTGCGCCAGAGCGTATCTCTTCCAAATTGTCGTGATTATGCAGATTTCGATTTGTGGCAGATCCAGAGAGTGGTGACAACGACTACCGAACCGGCTGGATCATCAACAACCGCCTCCACAACCCCTCTCAACTTCTTTGGGGGAGTTGATGGAGGCAAGGACAGAGCTTGTCGTGGAGCTTTCCCAGCGGATAATAGTCCAGACTACTATGTACTGCAGCGCGGTGTGAGGGGTCTGGATGGCTGCAAAGAAATTTGCATCATCGATAGTTTGTGCCAGGGTGTTGAGTATAGCGCTGGCAGATGTGAACTTTGGACGCGGCCTGGTGGCATTCAAGCATCTATAGCTCTCCCCGGCTTTACTTGCTTGCGCTTTGGTGGAGCCCCAACGACAACTCCTTTTCCAAAGCCATTTCTTCCCTTAGATGGTGGCACAGACAGAGCTTGCAGAGGAAGGTCTGCAACTGACAACTCTCCAAATTACTACATTCTCGTAAGTGGCAGGCTTGATCTCAACCAGTGCAAGGCCAGATGTGCCGCCACAGACACTTGCAATGGCATTGAGCACAGCAACCGCGGCCGATGTGAGCTTTGGACACGAGCTGGTGGCATCCAGGCGACAGCCGCAGTCAGTGGATACACATGCTGGCGTTTCGATCAGGGTCTTCAGTGGATTCTCATGGAAGGCCGGAACTGCTATGACAGCCATGGTGCCAGTTCTCTGCAGAGCATTGCAGAGTCTGTGCCAGTTGAAGCGTGCAAAGAAGCATGCATGCAGCTTAAGACATGTGAGGGGGTTGTCGTGAGATCTGGCTGGAATGAGAGCCCCTGCTGGTTGTACTCGAACATAGACCTCGAAAGCTGTCTGACGGTTTTGGACTACGACTTTTGGCATTGGACACAATGATGAAGCTTTAGCCTGAGCCTGCCCATAATTGTGGCTACAGTGTTGTCTATTTTTTTTTCTCGCATCATCGGAAGGCTCCTCAGCCTTCAGAAAGTCTGTTGCCACGCCTTATGTACAGATGTACAGTAGCGGGCTTCGAGTAAGAGTGGAGGCTGGGGACTCTTTGGAGAAAGTCCGTCGGACGCAGTGATTTCGGGCACTCGTAGTTCCAACGGCTTCATCTGCCTTGCTTTGGCGCACGGTTTCTCACTGCAGGAGGCGATCTTGGACTTCCTCGCAAGCCCGGAACTTGGGCCAAGCCAGCATGACTGACGAAGCTGAGCTTTGTTTCCGTAACAGGGAAGGATGGCAGCATCGCCCACATCAACGAAATCAACAACGACCGCTTTCTGCAAGAGGCATGTCTGATCAGCTTGAGGATGACAAGCTGGCCCTGTTGAATGCTTCTTCCATGGGTCTTTTGGACATGTCTCGGCTGGTGCCTCCGCAACAGATTGGCAGAAGGGGAGGTGTTCGTTAATCCGCCAGGTTAAAGTGGTGCTGCAATGGCTGTAGGTGGACTGTCCAAGGCCCCAGGTGATAACGCTGAGCCAGTCTTGCGGAGATAGTCAGATGCACAAGGGCGCAAGACCGGACAGACAGCAGCCCAGTGCATGCATACCGCTGCGATGGCAATAGTTCTTGAGCCGGTGAACTGCTACCTCCCTTGCGAGATCTTGCGAGGTCATGGCCCAGCAACTGCCAAAACCAATGACAGCCGTGAACAAGGCATGCCTGCGTTGATTCATGCTTCAAGGAGCTTCTTTGGAATACTTCAGGAGGCGGGACCCTGTTGTTATCTCTCAATTACCAGACCCCTTACCAGGCATGGTCGTATGAGTTGAGTGACACTCCCTGCTACGGGCTGGCAGGGGACACGCTTGGCACCCGCGGTGCAGTGTGTCAACTTGCAGAACCGTTCACCATTTCAAGCTACGCAACGCCACTTCAAGTCTTGCATCAAGCCTTTCTCATTCAAAAATGTGATGACAGAGTGTCAGCATTTCTGTCAACTTCTGTTTTGCAAAACCGAGGATTAGGCAGAGCTTAACCTGGGGTCAGGTGGTTCGGTACATGCGCTGTGAGCGACACCGCCATAGGCGAGAGCCTTGATGTAGTTTTTCTTATTACGAAATCTAGTGGAGCTAGGCTTGATTTTAGTCTTGCTTTAGCTGTGGTAATGGTAGCCTTCAAGATTGGAAAACGACGTATGGTGATATCACAGCATGGGGGGGAGGAGGGGGGGGTCGAGCGTGATTACGGCGTGATTCTTTCACAAGAAGCTGTAGATGTGGAGGGGGGGATGGGGGGACGGTCAAAGGTGAGCCTTTCACTCTTTCATATGAGCCATAGGTTTGGGGGGGAGGGGGCATTCTTTCTCGGGGAGGATTCGTAGGAACAACGTCATCTTTGGTTGCTAATTGTACGAGTAACATCATGCTGGTTGTTGCATCAAATCTCTTCTGTATGTACTGTTCATCGCCCTGGCGTGCTCATGGTACTAACGACATGGTTTCTGGTGGTCGCATCTAACTTCCCTGCTGTACTCTGCCTCTTGTGTTCACGACGGTTGGTTTGGTCATGGTATGGGTTGAATATTGCATGAAACCTCCCTGTCGCGTGCCATACCCCGGCAAGGTCAGAATACTAATAACATGATACTGGTGGTTTTGATGTTTTCTGCTCCCCTTCAGTGCTCACAACCCTTGCAAAGTCATGATACAAATAAACCGTGCTGGTTGCTGCTTCAGACCTTCCTGGCCCCTCTGTAGTGACTGTAGTGACCACTACCCGACGGGCATCATCCTGCCGGTTGGTTGCATTGCACCTTTCCTTCCTGTTGTGCTCAATCCCTGTGCCGGGCGTTTTTACAAACAATTCCTTGTTTCATTGAAACCTTGACACTCCTGTAGTGTTCGCTAAACCTAAACCTACCCATGCATGGGCATGGTACGAATGACATTGAGCTCGATGGTTGTATTGAAGCTCCCTACTCCTTTGTTCGTGCATGCCCTTGCATGCCTCTTTTTTTTGTGTTCATTTCCTTTGCATGGTCTTTGTATGATTTACATGTTACTTTGTAGTCGCATCCAATCTTGCTAGTCTTTTATGTGCCCTTTTTTGGCCAGAGTGCCTATAAGTTCATGCTTCGTGGTTTAATCAAGCCTCTCTTCTTCTTGGCTAGTATCTACCTCTGTGTAGTCATGCTACAAGTAACATCTTGCTTGGTGGTTCCATGCAGCATTCCTATTGCCGAGTGCTCCGTGGAAAGGTTCCTGTTTTCAGTGTTGGGATTTGGGATCCCACGACCGACCAGACTCATTGTGACGGGTCGGCAAGCGTCTGTCCACAAGTGTTTGCAAGCCTCTCCAAGCATTCGCACAGTCACATCCTCGTACAAGTGTTGTCTCTTTTCGACTGTCGTTGCTGCTTCGCGTGCCGGGCTGCGCGGGGAGCCGTTGCTTCTTCCTCGCGTGCGATAAGTTCGTAAGTACCAACAGTCACAGGGAGGACGCCCCTGGGGGTAGCCATCCTTGTAACAGTTGGCGATTTTGGAGAGTTACGTCTTTGTTGCGCGTGAAAATTGACATGGTGGACCCCTTGCAGTCGGCATCGTTGTAACTGTGGCCACTTCTGGAGCCTCGTGTACCCACAGTTGCAGGCACGTTATGGCTTTTGGATAGTCTTGTGTCTTCGTCCCGTGCGTCCATGTGGTTGGGATGGCACAGTCAGACTCGCTATCCTCGTGCCTGTCATTGCCCTTGGACTCTTGCAAAGAATGCACGGACGACGCAGCTTGCCATTGCGGAATGGAGTGGAGTGGAGAGTCATGTGGAGAGTGAGGTGGCAAATGGAGTGGAGTGGAGAGCGGTGAGGTCAGCGACGCAGAGAGTCAAGTGAATGACAGTGGAGTGGAACTGAAGTGGACACTGAAGTAAGGGTGGAGTCCAGAGTAGAGTGCAGAGTTGACTGGAAAGTGAAGTGGAAAGTGGAGGAGCACAAAGTGAAGCGAACAGTGGAGTTGAGTCGGCAACGTTTTGGGAGGGGTTCTTAAAAATATTTTCAAGGCCCCTCAATAAAAAGGTCTTTCTTGCTGACATGTACCTTCCCCTCACCTTTTCTAAAGCCTGGCTAGCTTGCGTTGGCCTCGGCTCGCCCCTCAAGTGACTCATGGCTGTTGCACTGCATGCATTTAGAATTGCATGCTGTGCTTCTGATGATGCGGTTGATATGTTTGCACCGGACAGTTGAGAGCGCTTGAGCAGGTCTGGCTAAAGCAGCACGAGAATGTCTTCACCCTTTTTAGGGCACAAGACAACGAGATGTACGTTGCCAGGACGCAGGTGTCAATCCTAGAGTTGGTCCCGGGTTTCCTTCTTGCTTTCTGGCCACACGGCAATACAAACTCCTGCCGAGCTGCCCAACCCTCTAAGACATGTCCACACGTTTTGAGGCCGTGGCTGACCAGAGGAAGGCCAAAGCCAAAGCACAGGCGGCTCCCAGCTCTCAAGAGCCATGTGCCAGACATGAGCTCACATACCATTCCGACATTACGCAATCTGGCAGCTGGACCAGGGAGTTGGGCGGAAGCCTTGTGGGTTGTAATGCTTTACTTCTGGCATCAGTGCTGCGTGCGGGAAGATCTTCAAGACTTCAACGTTGCCACCCCCACATAATCCTTCTTTGAAAATGTTTCAGGCTTTCGAGCAAAAAAAGCAGCCTGCATACCACCAGGTGGGAGCGTTGCGGTTGAAAAGAATCACGCGTGAGCATCCTGCAGACTACTTCACTTACTACACTTCAAGACAGAGCTCGCATGACTTACGTTCAGGTCATCCAGAAGGCAGACACATTGGCAGCACCTCGGTTGCATTGATTGGGCCCGAGATGAGCCACAGTAGTGCCAGCTGCTGAATTGCTTTTCATCGCTTCGAAGCCTGATTCGCAGGCCCCGCTGGTTTATGACTACGGTGGAGTCAAGCCCCCCGAGAAGGAGAGGTAGACTCTCTGAGTCTCAGTCGGCTGAGCTGTGCTCCTTGTTCCAACACACCCGAAGCATACCTGATGTGTGGCTTTCAGGAGAGGACTCTAGGTTCTTTCTTTTAGGGGGGCTTTCTGGTCCTGGTCCCCTTGTCCTCTGGGTCCTCTTTAAATCTCATGAGCAGTTGGGTAGGTTAGCTGTATCCCTGACAGGGTTCAGAGAACAATGACAGATAAAGCGTACAGCGACAGCCATTCTTGTAGACACGACAGACGACAAAGTAGTTGGCTCAGTTCAAACCCAGATATGAGAGCACCATGCGACTTGCGGCTCAGCTTTGTTGACCTGGCGGCACAGTGGAGGTTGTGCCGACCGGGACAGTTTCCACCTGCAGGGGCGATGGGGGTTTCGCATTTCCAGCTGCAGGGGGGTAAGGGTGCCTTTCCCTTGTTATTCTATCCCCTAGTCTGTTCTGCGAAACAGCTCTAGGAAGGCCAAAACGCAGAATAGATTAGGGCCGGGTCTCGCAGGGGTCCCCTAGTCTCTTCTGCGAAACAGCTTCAAGAAGGCAAAACGCAGCATAGACTAGGGCAGGGGCTCGCAGGGGGTCCCCCTTAGTGTGTTCTGCGAAACATGTTTAAGAAGGCCAAAACGCAGAATAGATCCCCTAGTCTGTTCTGCGAAAAAGCTCTACAAAGGCCAACACGCAGAACAGACTCGGGCCGGGGCTCACAGGGGATCCCCTAGTCTGTTCTGCGAAACAGCTTTTATGAAGTAAAAACGCAGCATAGACTAGGGCGGGGGCTCACAGGATCCCCTAGACAGCTCTCAGAAGGCCAAAACGCAGAATGGACTAGGGCTGGGGCTAACAGGGGATCCCCTAGTCTGTTCAGCGAAGCAGTTCTGAGAGACCAAAACCCAAAATAGATCCCCTAGTTTGTTCTGCAAAACAGCTCTATGAAGGCCAAAATGCAGAATAGATTAGGGCCGGGTCTCGCAGGGGATCCCCTAATCTGTTCTGCGAAACAGCTCTCCATAGGCCAAAACGCAGAATAAACTCGGGCCGGGGAGGGGATCCTCTAGTCGGTTCTGCGGAGCAGCTCTAAGAAGGCCAAAAGGCAGCAGGGCCAAGCACCCCCCTTTCACTTGGTTTCGCAAAAACAAGAAGCCATAGGGGACCCCCCTGAGCCCTGAGCCTTACGGCTCCTCATTTCGGAGGTTTCGCAGCCTGAATCCAAACGTATGGCCAGGAACCCTTCTGCCGTAGAGCCCCTGAGCCCTACGGCTCCGCGGTTTGCAGTTCACCGTAGGGCTGCAGAGCACCTCCTTGAGCACTACGGAAATCTGGTTTCGCAGCGAAACCTCCAAAGTGAGGAGCCGTAGGCCTGCAGAGGACACTCCTGAGCTCTACGGCTCCTCATTCGGAGGTCTGGCATGCCGAAATACGTCCAAAATGAGGAGTCGCTGCCGGGGTCTTATTTCGGAAGTTTTGGCCCGAAACCTTC